ATAGCTGGATAACAGGCGTGACGTGTTATCATTAATTGATGCCCTATGAAGCAATGCACTGAACTAAAAGCAAACTTTTGATTGATCGCCCATCAAGCACGTAGTCTCTCCGTAAAGTGAATTCAATCCGCGCTAATTTCATAATTTCGACACTCACTGTGTCTTCACATGTGCTTTTGGCTTGAATACACTTAACTAAAGTGCTGCAACGTGAAAATTTTCTGTGAAGATCGCGACTGCTTCAGGATCAAAGTTCAATAGGATCAAAATATTATTATTATTATTATTCCGGCAACAGGATCAAAATATTATTCCGACAAATTTCTGTAATGTACATGATATTTTGGAGTCAAAGTTTGTGTGTGGAAGTCGGCATATGATATTCCGAATATAAAATATAATAGCAAAAGGATCCAACCTGACAATGGACGTTAAATATGTACCACTTGGGCAGATTTTCTGCATCGACCACCAAAGGTTTTGGACGTTTTTTCGAACGATCTTCGGTGAAATTTCGACGTATAAAACGTCGTCTGTTCATCGATTTTCGATGCAAATGATATGTGCTTAAGACGTTTTGCGCATTCACTTCGTTGACTTTGTGAAGATAAATTGCGAAATGATCGCTTTGCAAAGTAAACACAACTCGTCTAAATCTTCGTCAAAAGCGACTGTCACTTAATGGAGGAATACATTTGGCCTTGTTTGACATGAAAATCTCTGCACCTGCTCACGATCCTGTTTCTTAAGCTGAATGAAGTATCAGAAATGGACCTGAAATTCAGAAGATACAGAGGAGATTGGTCTAACTATAAGTAATTGCAACAAATAGGTCTCCACGATGTGCGTCAAAGATCTGCTTCAGTGATGAAAATAAAGTGCTAACGAGATGTGTAGTCTAATTGAAGATGAAAGCAGCGATGACCAATGGCAAGATGAAGACAGAGTGTGTGTGAAGGTATATGCAAATACGAAGAGGAATGGTAAATCTGAGCGGTTTGTTGGATCAGGCGAAAAGTGTTGCTGTAATCGTGTTGAAGTCATGCAATGTGTCTTGCTTAGATCAATAATAATCATCAATCTCGTTGCCACTCGACTCAGCTCACCTCAACTCAACTCGACACCGACATCAGTCTATCGTCCTGCGCGCTGAACAATCTTACATTATTGCAATATCTATCGTTTATTGCTTCACAAATCGTTTCTCACCTCTAAATCCACTCTTCAGTCGCTCTTTCACGCACGAATCCAACAAACGAACGACTACCTTTCACTTCATCATCCATTATCACTAGCATTTGCAGTAATAATTTTCATTCGCACTCTTTATTTTTACGCATTTTGTCGATGTGACAACAAGAACTCTATTTTCTTCGTAAGCCTACTTGGATTTCCCTTATTTCACACTTCATGTGTCTCATTGTCAGCATGGAAGTGTTGTACTTCACACTTCATGTGTCTCATTGTCAGCATGGAAGTGCTAATGACACTGACTATACCTTTGATTAACACTTCACTGGCTTGCATCGTCGAAACAAGATGAAATATAACCTTCAAGAGTTAGCAAATCAATTTGAAACGAGAAAGACGCATTTTAATCAAGAATGTTGTCTCGCATTGCATTTATGC